AAATCGAAAATTATTTTTTTAAATTAAAACTTGATTTTTCAATAAATCCCCACACAAAAGACGAATAAGAAACTGCTGAATTCTTTCACACTATTGTGAATGGTTATTAAATAAACTATAGCATATTTTTAGGCAACAAAGAATATTAGTTTAGTAATGGTTGGTATTTGTGGTGTTCAACCGAGTAAGACTAATTTATTGGTCGCATTCATTAAGAGAATTGTTTAAAAACGTAGCATACTTTCAGACGTCACAACAGATACGTATATTCAGTAACTGTGGGGTGGTGTTTTTTTTATCAAGAACATTAGACGAAGACTTAAGGAAATTAATACCAATTTCCTGGTCTCCCAATGAGACCTCAATTTAAATGTTAAGTGAATTAATTCAAGAAATGTTTGAAAAAAGAATGTTAAGAACAGAATAAAAAAAAAAATTGAAAATATATGTGGAATGTTTAGCCAATAGAGATTTTGAATTATATTCGTAAATTTTGAAATAATTTTTTTAAATTGAAGTTTTTTATGAAATATTTTTGTGATTTTTATACCCTACACAACTATGTTGTCAGGGTATTATAGCTTTGTGCAGCCCCATAGAATTTGTAACGCCATTAAATATTGGTTCTAGACCTACCTATAAGTGTAGCGATCGTCATATCTCGACTAGCTCGATCTAGACATGTGTGTCCTTCCGTCCGTCCGTCTGTCCATTATAATTTGTAAACACGATACAGGCCACAGTTATGGACCAATCTTCACGAAATTTTGCATGTAGGATGGGTTCGGCCCAATGAAGACCCCTATTGTTTTTGGAAAAGATCGGTTAATGGGCCAAATACTAAATTTTTGTCGGTTCTTCTGGCCGCTCCAGAGGCCGCAATTATGGCCCAAACATTTCGAATTTTTACATAGAGAAGGATATCATGCCGAGTCAAATGGATCCTGACTTTTCTGTGAAAAATGACAACATTTGTATTCTATAGCTTATATATTTAATCCTGAAGGACATAGAGCCGAAAAGTTGATAGAATATCCAAGAGGAGTGGTTGGCCTTTAAATTGATACCAATTATATTGTCGTATGTACTCGGGAGTTACATGTAAATCTTTACAGGTACTTACGTATTCAGATATTATTTAATAAACCATTACCACACTAGAGGGCGGAAATATAGCGCTGATCGCTTTGAAATGTTCCATGAGCTTCTAGCTATGGTCAAGTACAACGCCTATAATTTTCGGTGATGATCAGAAAATAATTTTGAAATGAAGTGAACCGAAAACTTATTTTTTGTGTTTTTTTTTCTTCCGATTCAATCTATAGGCTACAATTATAAGCCGAACATCACAACACAACCCACGGTGAAGGGAATATGGACAAGTAATTAGAAGGGCTGTACTGAATATTGGTAATATTCGGAAAATATGTCAGTATAAGGAGGAGGTGCTGTTGATCTCTAATCGGGCAAGAGGGTGCAACTATCACAATTTTTGATTTTGTGTGAGGCCTATTCGAATAAATATATTTGAAACTTTTCGAACAATTTAAAAAATGTAAATACTTCATGTTCGAATTTGTTTAATGACAACTATTGTTTTCGAGTTTTTATATTGGGGGTCTTGCAGGAAATGTAAAAAAATAACATGAATTTATATTAATTTGGAATATATGTTCGAAATTTTTCAACACTTGTTTTTTAATAAAATTTAAAAACTCATTAAATAATGTTTTGAATGAAATAATTTTTTTTTAATTTTTAATGTCTGAGTTTTACACGTTAAAACTAGAAAAATAACTTAAAAATGGAAAATAAGTCGAAAATTTTCAACACTACCCTTTAAAAAAAAAAGAAATCCAATTTCATGAAAAAAATTTTTGGAACTTTTGCGGATGTTGTCTTGCTTTAATACGAAAAAATATTTAAAAAATGCATTTATTTTATTTTCGAATTCAATTTTATTTTTGTTTTAGGAATTTCGAATTTGAATTCGAATAAATTTAAATACTTTAAATGTTCGAATTTGTTTAAAGAAAATTTCGAAGTTAAATACATTTTTTTTGGAAATATTAAAAAGATGAAGTTGTATTTATTTTAATTTTGTAAAAATTTAGCACTTTAAATGTTCAAATTTATTTAAGAATATTTCGACTTTGAATAAATAATTTTTTAAATTCTTATGGCTATCTCTTACTGGAAATGTTAAAAAAATAGAACATATATTTATTTTGGAATATAAATTCGAAAATACTCAACACTTCAAATTTTCCAATTTTCTATGAAAATTTCGAACTACATTAAATCATGTTTCGAATTTTTATGACTGAATCTTACATTTAATTACATAAAATCGAAGGAAAATATATATGGGAGTTATATCTAAATCTGAACCAATGTTTACGAAACTAAACACACGACATTCTAGGCTCAATTCAGTACTCTATACCAAAATGCGTGCAAATCGAAAGATATATAGGGACTTTGTTGCACCATTTACCTTAAATCGGAAGAAACTATATTTGGGAGCTATATCTAAATCTGAACCGATTTTCACGAAACTCTGCACACATCATTCTAGACTTAATCGAGTACGGTATGCCGAATTTCGTGCAAATAGAATGATATATAGGGACTTTGGTGCATCATTTACCTTAAATCGGACGAAAATATATATGGGAGTTTTATCTAAATCTGAAACGATTGTCTCGAAATTTAGCACACATCATTCTAGACTTAATTCAGTACGCTACGCCAAATTTCGTGCAAATCGAAGAATATATAGGGTCTTTGGTGCACCATTTACATAAAATCGGACGAAAATATATATGGGAGCTATATCTAAATCTGAACCGATTTTCACGAAATTTTGCACACATCATTCAAGACTCAATTCAGTACGCTGTGTCAAATTTCGTGCAAATCGAAAGATATATAGGGACTTTGGTACAGCATTTACATAAAATCGGACGAAACTATATATGGGAGCTATATCTAAATCTGAACCGATGTTTCCCAATTAAAAATAGGGTTCGTCCTTGGGCCAAATAAGTGACCTGTGTCAACTTTCATCCAAATCGGAGCATAAATACGACCTGTACATTGTTTACAATTTAACGTGGACAGACAGACGGGCGGACATGCATAAATCTACTTAGAAAGTGAGTCTATGCATATTCTCAAAAGGAACCATGGGTCTATCGCGATTCCTTTTGCCTGTTACAAACATATGCACAAAGACATAATACCCTGTACCACAGTGTGGTGAAGGGTATAATGACCCTTGAATTTGTATCGATTTAAATTGAAAATTCTATATATAATATATAGAATTTAAATTCCAGAAAATGTATTGAATTTTTTTTAGAAATTAATATATTTTAAATATATGCATATTATTATTCTGAAGACTTCAAGTTTATTAAATTTAAAAAAAAAATCTATATTTATTTATAAAAGTCAATTTTGAATTGTCAAATTTTTTTCCGAAATATATATATTGTCAGATTTTATATTTTCGAACTTTATTTCGAATATAGATAACAAATGAGAATTTAAGATGTAGACATTATTAAAATTTTCGAATTTTTATGTGCGAAATATTAGCAGAAAAATGGAAAAATATATTTTTGAAAATTTAGTAATTTTTACTTCAAAATTTTAGAATTTTATGAAATTTTAATTATTATTTTTTTTTTCTAAAAACTCAATCAAATGCTGTATATATAATAAATATATATAGTTTTGTCTCCTGTTAATAATAAACTCTGCTTGAATTACTATTTGTTTATGTATTTATTTTTTGTTGATATATTTATTTATATATATGTATATGAATAAACTATATACAAAGTATGTTTTTGTTGTTTTTGTAATCATTTTTTTATTATTCATTCTAAATTAATTTGTTGTTGCTGTTGATTTTGAGAAAAAAAATAAAAGTAAAATAATATTTACTGACTGTTGTTGTTGTGTTACAGAGTGTTTTTTTTTTTTTTTTGGTATTAGAATTTAGTTAGTTATTATTTTTTTTTTTGTAATTAGCAAATTTTTATTATTTTTTGTTTTTAATTTAATATTTTTTTAGTAATAATAAAAATTTGTTTTTTAATAATATTAATTATATTTTTTCTTGTTCTGTTGTTATTTTTATTTTTTTCTTCTTTGTTCATTAAAGAATGGTCGTGTGTTTTTTGTTAAAGATTTTCTTTAAATTTATACTTAAAAATTATATAATCATTTTTTTTTCTTTATAATAATTATAATTTATATTATTTGTTTTTTTATAGTTTTATAATAGTAGTAAATATTAACTATCAAGTTTTTGGTTTTTGTTTTTCTTTTTTTTTTATAATAATAATTTTTTTATACTCTGATTTTTGTTTTTGTTACTTCTCAAGGAGTAATAAAGATTTTATTTTCTATATATAATTATTTTTGGTTTGTGTATATATATATTGTATGTTCAATGACTGTTGTTGTTGTTTGTTAAGTTAAATTTAACAAATAATATTATTTATTAATTATTTTAAATATATTACAAGGTCTTGAAGATTTTATTTTTTTCATTCATTTCATTTTTGGTTTGTTTTCAAAGTTTTCTTCTTGTTGTTGTTGATTTTTTGTTGTCTAAATTTAATTTGTGGTATTAAATGCAATTTTCTTGTTTTTTATCTCTTCTTCTTCTTTTCGTCCTTCCTTTCAAAATTTAGTTTTCTTTAAGAATCATGTTCATGTGGTTGTTGTTGTTTTTATTTTAAGCCGTTTGTTCTTCTTCGTCTTTTTCGTAGAGTTGTTATTTTAAACCTTTAAATGTCCTGATTTGTTAGATTATTTTCATTTAAATTAATTTTGTAAGTATGTTTGTATGTATGTATTGAAATGGTTTTCTCTTTTTTTTTTGAGTGTAAAAAAAGAAAAAAATATTTTTTTTTTCGTTTTTAATGATCCTCTGTGTGGTTGTTGCTGCTGCTGTTGTTTTAGTTCACGTGTAATGGATTCCTTGCTCGTCATCATCATTTTCAGTATTTTCATCATCATCATCATCACCATCGTCGCTAATAATCATTAATTCTGTTTTTATCCAATATTAGGTCGCTAAGTGGCAGACATCTGTAAAGTCCATAATAACCATTATTAGAAAGAAATGTTATAAAAAAGAATAAAATTCATATATTATTTCATTAAATAAAATCCAGAAAAATATTAATGAAATTGTTGTATGAAAAAGTTTACAAAAATGGCTGGAAATGCTTATTTTTTATATTTTACATAAATAGAATTTTTTTAAAAAATTAAAATTTTTTTTCTTATAATTAATTATTTATTATAGTACAATTACGTTATAAAGAAACCAATAGGATTATTTATTTTTAATATTAAATAAATGTAGATCATTAAGCTCGACTCGAAAGAGTATAAATAATCACTTAAAAACTACTTTCAAATAATCACTGCCCTTACAAGACAAAATTCAAATAACGAAAATTATTATTTATAATAAAATGTATTCTGTAATAATTAATTATGGAATTTAATTATAAAAATATTTTTGTTTATTTACTCAATTTTTATTATTCCTCTAAATCCGTAGACTTAAATCCGTAAGGTTTCTATGTAGAAAAATATTGGTGAGCTGAGAACAATTCTTGAGACAAATAAAAAATTATCTCAGTAATATGTATCGAATATAAATATGATTCTAAAAATAATTTCAATTTTCAAATAATTGTATTGAATTCATTTAAATAAATCTGCGGGATTTGGTCCAAACGAGCATGGAGTATAAAACCAATATTTCGAAGGGGCCTTAAGGCTGAGGGTAAAAAAAAAACGTTCTGAGTATCTAGATTCCGAGGCCGAGCCAAAATATCGCAATTCTATGTGATGTTTAGACAAAGTAATAACCATTGGATTTTTTGAAATATCTCAGCTCATTTGAAAGTTATTGCAATTTTACCAATAGCTTGATTTTTCCTAACGCAGTTGATTGAATTGGCGAAAATGGAAAAATTTAAGGTTATGTTTTGTGTCCTAACTTTTGAACTACTTGAGGTATTGTAAAGAAATGTTTGTGATACGAAAGCTGAGAAGTCCAGCTATTTCGAAATTCATTTGTATTTTCAAGTTATTGCAATTTTACGAATAATTTGATTTTCCCTAACGACCTGACCATTTAGCGACTGCCAGCGACAGTTATGGACCAATCTTCAGGAAATTTTGCATGTAGGATGGGTTCTGCCCAATGAAGACCCCTATTGTTTTTGGTAAAAATCGTTTAATATTTTGGGGATGAAATGGACCATTGGTCTGAACTTCTGGTCGCTCTAGTGGCCGCAATTAGGGTCCAAACATCGCAAATTTTTACATGGAGAAGGGGATCGGGCCAAAGAATAAGCATGTGTGTTTCGATAAAGATCGGTCAATATTTAGCGGGCCAAATGGGCCCTGACTTTAGTGTGAAAAATTACATAATTTGTATTCTATGCGTATATATTTACTCCTGAAGGACATAGACCCGATAAGTAGATAGTATATCGAAGAGGAGTGGTTGACCTTTAAATTGATACCAATTTTGTCGTCGTATGTACTCGGATGTGGGAGTTACTTTTAAATATTTACAGGTGCTTACGTATTCAGATATTATTTAATAAACCATTACCACACTAGAGGGCGGAAATATAGCGCTGATCGCTTTGAAATGTTCCCTGAGGTTCCAGTTATGATCAAGGACAACGTCTATAATTTTCGTTGATGATCAGATAATAATTTTGGGATGAATGGACCAAAAACTTATTTTTTGTTTGTTTTTTTTTCGAGTCGATCTATAGGCCACAATTATAAGCCGAACATCACAACCCAACCCACGGTGAAGGGAATATGGACAAGTAATTAGAAGGACTGTACTGAATATTAGTAATATTCGGAAAATAAGTCAGTGTTAGGAAGAAGTGCAAGAGGGTGCAACTATCACAAAATATTGCACAGGCTTGGAATAAAAATCCGCAGAAAGTTAGAGTTCGGTGGTAGTTGTGTAGGGTATCGTATGGTGGGCCCCATCCGACTATACTACTCCGCTCACTGGTTTGTCCTACAAATGACACTGGAAGACAACTTTGAAGCGAAACCTTTGTGAGAATTGAAGGATCATCCTGCAAATAAATGTTATTAATGTGTTTGGCATTATGAGCTCATGGGACCATCATATAACCGACAGTTCTTCATAATCTGCAATTTATGCGTTTTGACTGAAGGCATATCAGCTGCAAAAACAAACCGGCTAAAGAACCGTTTAACTCATTACGCCATAACTCCAAAACTTGACCTAAAACGATTTAGGACCTTCTGGATTCTTAATATACTTGACCCTTGCATTTCGTCCACATAAGAAATTATCCACCCTGCCAAAATCTTGTTGCTCAGAATGTATGCAGATATAAATATCAGAAGTTATACCCCATGTTGTAATGTTCCCGAAATATTGACTCTAGACTAGGAATGCGTCAGAGTGTAACTGAAAACCCGTTATATGCAGTGACATAAAAAAGGAGAACGCGGAGAACGGACTTATTAACGCTTATATCATATCCCGACAAGCTGATCTAGATATGTGAGTCCGCCCGTCTGTCCATTATAATTGGTAAACACAGTACAGGCCACAGTTATGGACCAATACTTACGAAATTTTCCATGTACGTTCGGTTCGGCTCAAAGAAGATCCAACCTTATTGTTTTTGGTAATGCTCGTTTAATATTTAGGGTATGAAATGGACCGACAACGTTTTTGTTTGTTTTTCTGATCGCTCTATAGACCACAAAAATGATCCGAACACAAGAAATTGATCTGACCGGGGTATAATTTATGATAATCGGCCAATATTTAACGGGTCAAATGGACCCAGACTTTTGTGTAAACATTGTATGTATAACATAAATATTTACTCCTGAAGGCCACAGACCACAGAATTTGACAGTATGTACAAGAGGATTGCTTGATCTCCAAATTGAGTCCGCTATGAGATTGTTCATGAAGTTCCTATCTATGATCATGATAGTCGCCTATAATTTTCTGTGGTAGTCCAATGATATTTATTGGATGAAATGTACCGAAGTCTTATTTTTTGTAGTCACTCTAGAGGCCACAATAGGAACATCACAATGTTTCCACGGGGAATGCGATCTGATCAGATTTCTGGAATGACAATTTTGATCGCTCAATATTTAGCTGGTCAAATGAACAAGACTCTTGTGTGAAAAATTACAAAATTTGAATCTTCACTCCGGGGAGCTGTTGGAAAACAACAATTCCATTGATGGAAGAGGTCGGAAGAGGTCCACAAACTTGTTGGTAGTGTTTTGTATTACCATTACCAAACTAGAAAGATAAATTTCAAGAAAGTTAAATATCAATGGTAGTTATGTAGGGTATAATATGGTCGGCCCCGTCCGAATATATTGCTCCGCTCACTGGTTTATAAAATAGGAAAATTACAGAGCATCGGAGATATCAGAAGAAGTAGACCGCGGGTCCCGTCTTCGTTTTTGGATTAATAAATTTTCAAAATGTTGAAGCTTTTCGGGAGAGATACGCGAAGAAGTGGACCGATGGCTTGACTAGGATTGAAAGAAATATTACGATATTACGTATTCCAATCGGACATTCCAAACGATTGTTCTTGCATTAACCAATTTCCAAAATGTTGTCACTTTGTGGGAGAGGTACCCGAAGGAGTTGACGGACAGCTGGATCCTATCTTTGATTTAGAGTTGGTAAAGATTGGGCGATGTGTAGAGTTCAAATCGAACATTCCATTTTCTTAATATTGAATTTATAAAAAAATTTAAATTTTTTGACACTTTGCGAGAGAAGAATCCAATGGTGTGGACCGATGGGTCCCATTTTGTGACGTGATCCAAGATTAATAGAAATATTACGATATTTGGGTCAAATCGAACATTCTATTCCCTTAATATTGGAATTGTAAACATTGAAAATTTTGGACCATTTAGTGGGGGTGGTTGTTCTACAAGGAGTAAACCGAGGGGTCCATTTTGTGACTTGATCTAGGTTTGGTAATGATAATACGTTGTACAAAGTTTTTTTCAAATCGGGCATTCCATTCGCCTAATATTGTATTTTTAAATATTGAAAATGTTGACCATTTTTGGAGGAGGCCAGAACGAGTGGACCAATGGTTCCCATCATTGGACTTGACCTAGGCTTGTTAAAGATTATAGGTTGTGCAAAGTTTAGTTCAAATCGGACATTCCATTCCCCTGATATTGGATTTATAAAAATTGAACATTTTGACCATTTTGTGGGGGAGGTACCTGAAGTAGTGGACCGAGGGGGTTCAATTTTCTGAATTAATCTAGGATTAAAGAAAATATTTCGTTGTATAAAGATTGGGTCAAATTGGACATTCATTCGCTTAATATTTAATTTATAAAGATTTGTGGGAGAGGCACCCGAAGGAGTGGACCGATTGGTCCCATCTTCGACCCAGATTTAGAGTTAGTACAAAATACATTAGTAAATCGATTCCAATTTGTCTGAAATGAAATTGATCCAAATAAACATGGGGTCTAAAATCAATATTTCGATGAGACACATTTTAGCGTAGCATAATGTACATACCATCATTAGCGAGAGGGTATAAATCTTGGACCAATAACATAAATTGTATTAAAAACATTATTTAACAAATATTGATACATATTCAATAAATTGTATAAAATATGAATAAATAATTTATTTTATTTTACATACTAATTTTATTAGTTTATTATTTTTTTAAATTAAACCGTACGGTTTTAATATATATATATATATTTATAAAATATAAAACAATTTATAAAACTTTTGTAATTTATACATAATTATATATAATTTTTATGAATTTGAAATCCTTCGAAATCATTAGTGCTCTATAAACAAGGTGCTCCATTTGTCTAGCTAATACAGGAAACTTCATGTAAATTAAAAAAAAAATTAAGAAAAACTCACGTTATCCTTCATCTTCTTCTTCTTCTCTTCATAATAGTATGTATGTATTTGTGTGTATAAAAATGTAAGTTTCGTTGTATTAGTGGTTTTGTTTTGCATGTGTTTG